TCTGGGGCCCGTCTGCCCTGGCCACTGGCCCTCCCTGAAGGGGCAGCTCGGAACGGCCACGTGTGCACTCCCCTCGGCCAGCCCTATCTTTTCTTTAGCACGTGGGCTGTTTTGTTTATTTCGGAGAAGAAACCAGGCGTGGGAGGTGACCCGAGGCCGAGGCTGGTGCACCCACCTCGTCACAGCCGATGTGTAGCCAGCGTGCGCCTCCGTGCCGCTCCAGCACCTGGTCCAGCATGGCTCCCACCAGCGCCAGGGACTCCGCCTCATGGGGGTTCAGGGTGTTGGGGAAGCTCGCCACTTCCCGGAGATGGGCGAAGGCTGCATGCTTCAGCACAAACTGAGGACAGAGTAGGCAGTGACACCGGCGACCCCACGGTGACCTGGGACCGCGCTTAACCCCTGGTCTGGTTCTGAGTCTGTGCAGAGGGGAGGGGACGGGCGGCCTGAGCCCTCCTCCTGATGCTGCAGGACACCTGCCACAGCAGGGCTGCCAGCAGGCGACCCTCCCACACTAGTCCCTGCTGGGAGAGGTTGGCAGGCCTGCCCTCAGACAAGGACGGGTGGCGCACTTTGCCAAAGCTGCTTCCAACGCTCTGAAGACCAACCAAAGCTGAGCGACACTCCTGAGCGCTCCGGAGGACAGGAAGCGCCTCCATCCCCCAATAAGGGTCAAGACTCCCTAGACATGACACCAAGTGGAGTGGGGGCTCGCTGCTAGACACTCCCAGAGACTCGCTTTCCTAGCGTGCTTCGAGGTCCGGATGGTCCTTCCACTCGCCCAGAGCGGCAGCCCCGCAGCCCTCAGACCAGCAGGAGGACATGCCTCCGCCCGCCTGTGCCCGGTCGGGTAGGCTCTGCCACTGCCGGCGGAGGGCGGTGGCACGCCAGGGCTTACTCCGCAGAGGACGCGTCTCCCAGAGGACTTGCGCAGGACTTTGTTTTCTTATTTTTATTTTTAAAGAGAGACCTTTTGCTATAGGGTGTTTGTGTTCACCAGACAGACAGAAAGCGAGAAAGCACCCCTCAGGGAGACAGCCATGGCACAGTCCCTTCTGGGACTCGAACCACGGTTGACTATGTGGGAGTCCAGCGATGTAACCATTACGCCATCCGCTAGTCACTTGCCTCGAACTTTAAAAATGCAACAGTCACGGGCAGATGACGGCCCGAGGGTGAGGCGCTGGTTCCCACAGAGCAACCGTGCAGCTCGAGTCCTGGACCTGGAGCAAAAGTGTGCGTGCATGGCCGAAATCCCGAGGATGGGGGGAAGGGAGTGCGGCACAGCCATCCTGCCAGAGGTGCTCTCTCTCCTGAGTGGACGCACCCTAGAGCAGATTAAAACTAAACGAAACCCAGCAGTCAGGGAAGAAAAGGAAAACTCTGACTAGTTAGGGCAATCAAGTACATCTAAAGGCCTTCCCCATATGGGGCCAGCATGTGGCATGGTGGTTAAGGTGCTGGACTCCCACGTGGCCGACCACGGTTTGAGTCCTGGACTCAGCAGCTTGAGAATCACACCAGGTGTGTGTGTGCCAAAATCCCAAGAGGAGACGAGCGAAGGGATAAGGGCATGG